GACAGTGAATTACATATCTCAGAGTTGGCTACGCCTAGGTTAATGCCGGATGTAGAATGTTAACTTCAAATAAATCCTTTTTTGTTTTGGGAGTGTGGCTCGAGGCTCATGATTTAATTGGAGTAACTGCTGGAATCCTGACAACGTATTTGTAAAAAAAAAGTAAACCTAGATTCAAAAAATAACCTCAATAGCAGACATCAGCAATGGCATTTTAGAACAAAATGGAGCTCTGGAGACCAGACATGGAGCTCTGGCTTCTAAGTCAACTTTTCCCAGCTCAGTAGCTGCAGGAAAGGCTCGATCAGCTGAACCAGGAGGGAGCCTACAGAGATTCATTCCCCAGGTGATCTACTCAACAGAAGCAACCATCCAGCAACCTAAACCCAGGCAGTCCTCGATTTACAACTGTTGGTTAGTGACCGTTCAAAGTTGCCACGGCACTGGCAAAAAGGGACTCGTGACACTTTTATGACCGATTTACGACCCTAGGGCCGCCTGATTTACATTCGGATGCTTGACAATTCACATTTATGATGCTCGCAGTGTCCCGGGGTCGCTGATTCCTCTTTTGCGCCATCTGACCAGCCAAGTCAGCGGGGAAACCAGATTCGCTTAAGCACTGTGTTACTAATTTAAGAACTGCGGGGGATTCGCTAACAAAATGTGGCAAGGAAAGTCGTCAAATGGAGCCAACTCACTTAACAACATCAATCTGGGGCGCCATTGGGGTTGTGAGCTGAGGACTGCCTATAAATGAATATGCAAGGGTCATTTCCCCCCTCCCCCACACACACACAACAGATTGGTATCTGACCCCAGCCCCTCATTTTGGTACATGTGCAAGAAAGAAAAAAACACACTTACCCTGTGGACTTGCAAGCACAAGCAATTCCAGAGTTCTTTCTGGCAAGAGGGGAGAAAAATCATCATTTGCACCAGAGTTTTGAGTTGAATAAAAACCGACAGGGAGCAGAATGGCTAGGAAACCTTATTCAGACCGCTTAAATATTGAAGCAAGGGATTCTATCAAGTACCAATGAAATAAACTTTAGAGCAGTGGTGCTCCTCAACTTTGCCAGTTTGGTGAAGCGGCAACAGGACTGCTGGGGGTGGGTGGGGGCAGAAGAGAGATGGTTCACGTGTGAGCAGTGGGGGCTTTGCATGTGCACACACGCGCAGCTCAGTGGCGGAATTCAAAATATTTTACTACCAGTTCTGTGGGCATGCACGGAACATTCTAAAATGGGTAATTTTAAGCATGAATACTTACCTTACTGTCAGCACTGGTGAGTAAAACAGCTGAGGCGCGGCAATCCACTCTGCCGCGCCTATCAGCTGAGCTACAAACAAAGGAAATATAGGACAGGAAAGGGTGGAGCCAACTGCTGACCAGAGCAACCAGATCGCTAGAACCGGTGCGAACTGGTAACTTTCCACCATTGGCGCAATTCCATTTGTGAAAGGGGCATAACAAGGGGGGCTTTGTGCACACTCGCCCACCACTTGTGGGGCCAGTTTCGAATGGGCCACAGCCCAGTACCGGGCCATGGCTGGGGGATTGGGGACCCCCTGCTTTAGAGCAATGCCTGTAATAGTTGCTACCGTGCAATTTACTAACTCACTTTGTAAGATAACCACTTCACAGCTAAAACTATCATGATTTAATCGCAAAGGAACATGGGCCTTCAACCAAGCTAATCAACAAATCAGCAAAGGATTTAGCCATGTTTTAAGACTGGCAAGGAAGGGGAATTGCGGTAACAATCCTGCCTCATGGGCTCAGCGCCCAGCAGGAGAGATTATCCTAAACCTGAAGGATGGAACATAAAGTATGCAAAGCTCCCTCCCTTCCACTACTGATGATGTTACCTAGTTGGGTAATGAAACGTCTGCAAGAAAACCAAGCTCAGAGAGCACCGATGAACACTCCCCCCCCACTTCCTGGTGTGCACAATTCGCTCTCCTTTCATTTTGTTTCCTTCCTAATTCCCATAAAATTTAGCACAACTTACCTTTATCAGGTTCGGAATGCATTAGGGGCGGATTATCCTGCCTCGCGATGGACATCGGCAACACTTTTCTAGCAGCGTTTTCTGTATTGGTCGCTGCTGAAACCGTGGCACTGGCCACGGAGACGCTATTCGACGTGCTATGGGCCACGCCCCCCTCAGAGTTTCTGTCCTCCGTGTCAGAGTCATCCGAGTGCAGGGGATTGGTGAAACACAGAGGGGCCTGAACCGGCAGCGGGCCACCGTGGCAGCGGCCTGCCGGTTCCCTGGGAGGGGTGTCCCTTTGACCTGGCACGCCTGAGTCTACGGACAGATTTGTGACTTCGTGACATAAAACGGGTAAAGGTGCCTCCTCAAAGAAGGGCTGCTTGTTTTTAGTCTCTTCTAAGGACCACATGGCGTGGCCCTTCTCTTTATTAAGGGGCAAACAGTCTGGCCGTGGCGGAGCATCTGTAGTAAGACCCAGGTGTCCTTCCAGAGAGGATATTGCAATGGGAGTGACTGGCTGCAGACTGCATTCATTGCAAGGGTTCTGCACGGGCTCCGTAGGCGCATCGCCGGAGCCGCACTCCTGCGGTTTCAAGGTCATCTCCGCTGCGTCCGGCGGGCACGTTTTAATTTTAAGTGCATTTCCCCGACTCAGGAGAGGGTTTCCATCGAAGCTGCGTGGTTGTTCCTGAAGGGGCACTTTCTTAATTTCGAAGCTCAAGTTGTGTTCCAGCTTTTTATTGGCGGCGGGGTCTGAGAATTCATGCTTCCCTGAATAGTCCCTGGATTTACCATAATTTTCGTTGAGGTCTGTCGGGTGCTCTGAAGACACCATGTGCAAAACAGGCTTGGGGTGGTATCGGTCACTGTCTTGCCAAACCGTCGTCACGGTTGGGTAGGCCGAAGGAGGCGATGGGGTTAGAATGGGTGGGACCGGATGAGGCTCAGGGGCCTGCAGGATTTCTTCTTTTACGTCACCCTCAACAAGGCAGCTAGGAATAATTATAAGAGAAGACTGTAAATGACACACATGGATGAGATGAAAGAGATTAGAGCCGTGGTGGCGCAGTGGGTTGGAATGAAGTATTGCAGGCTAGTTCTGACGACTGCCAGCAGTTCGATCCTGACCGGTTCAATGTTGACTCGGCCTTCCATCCTTCCGAGGTGAGTAAAGTGAGGATTTAGATTGTTGGGGGCAAGAGGCTGACTCTGTAAACCAGGGGTCTTCAAACTTGACTGCTTTAAGTCTTATGGACTTCAACTCCCAGAATTCCTCCTCCAGTCATGTTAGCTCAGGAACTCTGGGAGTTGAAGTCCATAAGACTTAAAGCAGTCAAGTTTGAAGACCCTTGCTGTAAATGCTCAGAGAGGGCTATAAATAGCAATAGCACTTAGACTTATGTACCGCTTCACAATGCTTCACAGCCTCTCTCTAAGTGATTTACAGAGTCAGCCTATTGCCCCCAACAATCTTGGTCCTCATTTTACCCACCTCGGAAGGATGGAAGGCTGAGTCAACCTTGAGCCAGTCAGGATCAAACTTCTGACAGAGGGCAGAGTTAGCCTGCAATACTGAATTCTAACAGGAAGGAAGGAAGGAAGGAAGGAAGGAAGGAAGGAAGGA